CACACTGTATACTAAGGATACCAATGAGTTGTCTATGGATTACGAAAAGTTGCAAAAAATGCCATTTTTGGACGCGTTTATCAAAGAAGTGATGCGAGTTAACTGTTCGGTCACCCGGTATGTAGTGTTGCCACATGTGTTTTCACACTTAATACTATTACTTTGTTATTTAAATAAGTAAATTTTTAACTTAATGTTTATGTTTATAATAGAGTCGACAGAATGCTTACGAAAGACACGTATTTAGAGGGCATTTATCTGCCAAAAGGCACGTCTATTGTTATACCCATTTGGGCACTGCATTTAGACCCTGATAATTTTGCCGACCCCTATGAGTTTAAACCGGAAAGGTTCCTATCGGAAAATCTACATGATATCAAACCGTATACATACCTACCCTTCTCTACCGGTCCGCGCAATTGCATTGGTATGCGATTCGCTTTATTAGAGCTCAAGTATACGTTAGTTAAGCTGTTGTGTAGGTATGAGTTTGTGCCATGCAATGAGACCAAGGTTAGTATGATTTTTGTTTTCAGTTATTCGTGCTTAAATAATTATTTTAAATTTATTTAACTTGAAAGGAAATGGACTATTATAATTCATTGGTACAAATAGCCAGTGTTAGACGCATGTTGGTTAAGATTAAACACCGTGATGGCATTATTAATAACCTTTAATTTATTTTATTACAATTTTTTGTAATTATAAAAATTTATTACAAATTGATTAAATAATTTTCCAAACTAATTATTATAATAATTTTAGTTATTATTCACAGAATTGAATTAATTGTAATCTTTATTGTAAATAAGAGATGGATTATTTTAACAACCTGATGCAAATTGCACATATAAGACGCATGATATATAAGCTATATACATTTTTATCATAATTATTTTTAATAATATGGGTAAACATTTTGTAAACAAAGTAACATTTTTAATAAAGTTGTGGAAAATTAGTTGATAGTAAAATTAAAAATGTTTAATTAAACTAGTTAATTAAAACTTAATAAGATATCGGCTCAAAATATGTTATTATTACAAAGAATATATAAAAAAGATAAATTATTAACAATTCAAAAATATCTTATTTTAAATATAATTACCTGTATGTCCAATATTTACCGACCAAATTACATTGCCATTACATATTACATTTACATACCGACCACCACATAGCCTCAGCAATATTATCAAACTGTTCGTTATCATCCTTTTCCACAATGTAGGAAATGTAGGCCAATATACACAACACAATAAACTCTATGTAGAATATAATAAACAACTGTTCCCTCTGGTCGTAGATCACCGACGATAGCACTTTACTACGATAGTACTAATACATTGGTTATGAGTATAAGGTGATAGAGTAGAGGCAGCGCCTCTGCAACTATAATAATGTTTAATCTTAATTGTGCAGTAAAAATGTAAACGATTTAACACAGTGACAGTTACGACACTTTAAATCAAAATATAAGCTTTAAATTAAATCAATGTTAATTTATTTTCAATTAAATTAGATGTAGAATTAAATTAGAATTGGAATTTTTTAGCGCAAAATAACATTTTATTTAAGATCTGATTAAAAATACAATACTGCATAAATTTGTGCAAAAATTAATACACAATAAAATAACAATATATGTTAAATAATAGTGATAATTAAAATTAATTAGTAGTGATTAAAGTGTACTAATTAAAGAAACATAATTATCTAGATTATTTTCTTACGACAAAAGTCCACAATTCACGGCTGAATTCAATCGTATGCTTACCGTTGAGCAAGATTTTAGACATATTCCGAGTCTCGAAGTGCTTAACGATCAGCTCCTGTAAGACGGCATTCATGTCATCATTACTCTCATCAGTACTGTCTGTCAGATACTGTTTATACCAATTGATATACAATTGAATCATCTCTAAATTAATTGTAATAAATGTAAATACAATTACACACATGATACATGACATGATAATTGTACTAACCATTAAAGGCATTCGCCGGGAATATACACTTTGGTTCCCAGTATTTCAGATTAATACGAGTCAATCCGGCGCTCTTGAATGCGGTCACCCATTGGCCGACCACTCGCTGTTCGCTGGGATACCGGAGCTGTCGCTCCAACTCAGCCCTCTTATCGGCGCCGGCGGTGTCATAGATATCACCGCAATATAAGATATTCATTACTATAATACCGTTGTTTGACAATAGTTTGGCCATATTTTGGGCCGCAGTGTCCGACTCCCGGACCCAATGAAGAGTAAAGTTGGAGAAAATTACGGACACCTTTCCGGCCAACTTCTGAAGACTTTTGTCCCATTGGTTCCACTCCTGAGTGATGTCCTGAATGTAGTAATCAGTGTTTGCCATAGCGTTGTGTTGTTTGGCGAATGCAATCACATCCGGGTCTATGTCTACCCCAACGATGTGCCCCGGGTTTAGCTCTTTGGCCAACATTATGGCAGTATTTCCCGGTCCGCACCCGATGTCCATCACTAGTGGATATCTATAATAGTTAGTGAATGGTAAACATCACTAGATATGTATATAAATTTACATAACTTAATACATACAACAAGTTCTGTATAAACATTTTTTAAAGGAAAATACTAAATAAAAATTATTATTAGTATGTTATTATTATTTACAGGTATTAATATGCATATACAATAGGTGAGATATATAACATAATAGTTAACAAACTTATCATCATGGTTGTTTTTCTTGATTTGTTGGATTAGTTCATCACATGGATCATCTATACCGAAATTATGTTCAATTTCGCTCAGCTCTTGCCGGGTTGAGTTAGACATGTCCATCGCTATTACCCTGTTATATGTCTATTAGTTAATGCAAGATTATTATTAATAATACATTTACAATATCAAACATTTATATTATTTATAATAACCTTGTATTAATTAAAAATGCTAGATATTGTAAATGTACAGTGTCATCGAAGTCGTTAGCAATAAATGGCTTACACAATCAAATAACATATCTTGTTGTTTCAAACAAATATATTTCATGATTAAAAATATGCTATATCATTAGATAATAACAAATTTTACTTGGTCATTCAAAACAACACGGCATGTGCTTTAACTAAATATTAACTTTAATTAAATAAACAACTATTTTTAAAACCATCTAGAAAAATCTGGTTCTTGCTATTCAATTTTATAACAAATGCAAAACTGGGTTTGGCATTAATGATATAGTACAATTTAGTATAGTTAGCTATTTCAAAAATTAAAATCATTTATTGTTAACCATTACAATGTTTAACTAAATGTGTTTTAAATATTGTGTTCAGTTACCAAATTTACTTTGGGTAGTGGTAATTATGAACATGATAACTATACTGTATTTACACGCATACAGTTTTTTCTCTATAAAACTACCAAAACATTTATTTTACAAAACCATTTACTGTCGATTATAATAATGTGTAATCTTAATTAAATGTCACACCTTTTTAAATAAAGATATTATGCTAACTTAAGATTCTAATCATTTAACATTTACTATCGTGTAAGAGTATTAAAGTATTAGTTCACGTTTAATCAAATAGTAATTCGTATTAATAAAATTTAAAATTTTCAAGTATAAATATTTACGTAAATGTGTAATATTAAAATTTTGGGTTAATTTAAACCTACAGAGATGCATTTCCAAATCTATGTTGTGTAGTAGTAATTATGGACATGATAACATTACTGTAATTACATGTTTACAGTTTATAATTTTTCTATCAAAATGTTTATTTTACAACATCAATTACTGTCGACTATAATAATATTTAACCTTAATTGTACTGTAAAAGTATTTACCCTCATAACCCACGGATAGCACTGAGACTCCCGTTTGCAATCACGACACGTATTGACCGCTTGTATGCCATTACAGTCGACAAACCCGTGATAAATCACCTGGCTTATGAAAATTATTCAATATACACTTTAAAATAAAACTAATTAAACCTAATTGTGCCTACCCCACCCTAATTAACCTAATATTACTAGATACTGTTATTTCTACTAACTGATACTGTTATTACTATTATTAATTTGAAATAATTTAATATGGTTAAAACAAATTCAAATAAATAGTTCTGATCAAAATTTAATGTCTTTTGAACAAGTACCTTTTGAAAAATGTCTGCATACAATCATACACGGTGATATTCAATTGTTGATATTTATTTTACGACGATTATTTATTATTAACTACAGTATTATAATGTTAGTTCATGTATTCGTTCAGAGAAGAATTGCTGTTACAAATGTCAATATGGTAACAAAATATAAATTACTACCAATATAAAAATATATTATTTCACAACATAACCTACCTACTACTAAAACCAATTATTACTATTAATTGAGATTATTTTAATAGATAAAATTGATTTCAAATATAGATTTACAGTTGATAAATAACAAACAATTAAATAACATATTCTAGAATATACATGTATATTAAATTTAACAACTAAATGTTTACAGTTTAATTTTTATAAATATAATGCACTGACAAATAATTTTTGTAATATAAATTTTGATTAATTTATTAAATTAAAATAATTTTTATTACACCATTTAAGCATGCAAACTCTAACTAACTATTTGGTCAATATTGTAATTATTAAAAATGTGACATTTTACTTGTGACACATTGCATTGTACTTCATAATGCCAATTATTTAATTCAAATTTATAGTATTAAAGTAAATTTTATTTATTTTGCATGTGCATAAATAATTATTTAAAATTGTAATTTTAATTCTGGTAATATTATAAGGACTTTGTTATAATAATAATAATACAATTAGAATAAATAGAATAATTAGAATAAACATACACATATTTGTTTAAAAACATTAGTACATTTAGTACTAGTATATTTATATTTAAAATAAAATACTAACATTTAATTAATTAAAACCCTATTTCATTTTAAAAGTATTGAATAACATGCATTATAAGTTTTTACATAATAGTTATTGATTTTGTTTAATAGTTATAAAATTGACTTTTATGATGATTTAAAAATTATTGTCCTATTCATTATATAACAATCCAAATATATTTTGTTTTGTAGTAAATATAAACATGATAGTAATTTTATAATTACATGCTTACAGTTTATATTGCTTTCTATCAAAATATTTATTTCACATAATGTGTAAACTTGCATGTGCTCTAAAATAATATTAACCTCATAACCCACTGACCCTTCATTGTGACCCGCGTTTGCAGTCACGACACGTATTGACCGCTTGTATGCCATTGCGTGCGATCTCATCGATACAGTCGGCGAACCGGTGGTCAAACACCGGGTGTCCGGACAGGCGGGCAATGATAGCCATCTGTTGGTCCAGTTTATGCTGTATTTCGGTTATCAACGCATCGATACTATCAATCTTCTGGTTGAGTACCGATTGTGAGCTCTGTATTGAGTTCTCGTTCAGACCCACACGGGTGCCTAAAATATTTTTTAAACAATTATCATTTGACACATAAAATGAGTATATTTTAGATAAACACTCTAGGTAAAATGCTTTTCGATGTACAATAAGTTTAGTTATTTTCATAAATAATTAAGCACCTAAACTGTTTTATCAGATGAATAGCAGCAAACATATAGATAACAAATTAAATTAGTTTAAAAATAAATAAATAAAAAACAAATACCGATTGTGTCAATGGTGGTCTGCATATGGCCGACCTTGCTCATCACATCCAACTGACCATATTTATAGCTCTCAATGATGCTTTTAATATCCAGTGGGCGCAATAAATCCACAAACCGTTGTTTGGCAATAAAAAACTTGGTCAAATAAATAAACTTTTTCTCAATAGTTTCAAAGTAGTAAAACTTGTATATATCGGTCGGCCGGTGACCAAAAAACTTGGATGTTTCGTTATATTTCACGTTGGCCTTGCTCAATCGCCACGCGCATTGTATCAAGGTGGCGGCTGCGGCTTTTTTCTTGCGCCGCTGCCGATTACGCTCCTCCTCCTCGATCTTAAGGGCCAATCCGGCGCCGATAATACCCGCCGGCAGTGCAAATATGGCCACACCTAACACCGTAAACACGCTAGATACTAGTTTGCCCAACCAGGTTACCTAGAATATATTTAAAATGTTTGATTTAATAAAGTTAATCCTGTGTTATAAATGAGTATGAGATTTATATGCCAAGGTCAGTTAATTGATAATTAATAAATCTAACATTGCAATAATTTAATTAAACTAGTTAATTAATTTGCAGAATAATTTGTATTAATATAAATGTAATAATAATAATAGTGATAAATGTATAGCGAACCGGTATTCGATCCCCATAGCCTACCGTTGACAAAGTTACCACCTTAGTTGAATATAATAAACAAACATTATTATTTAATATAGCTAATACAAATAATGATCTACACCAAGTGTAGAGTTGACCATGAATACTTACCGACCACCACATGGCCTCGGCGATATTATCAAACTGTTCGTTATCATCCTTTTCCACAATGTAGGAAATGTAGGCCAATATACACAACACAATAAACTCTATGTAGAATATAATAAACAACTGTTCCCTTTGGTCGTAGATCACCGACGATAACACTTTCCATGGTTTCAATTGGCGGTTAAGCGTAACGATCTGTAGGACTGAGAAAAAGCGGTGAAACCCACGAAAAGCCGATACCGCAAACACCTCCGACCCGTTGCGCGTATGTATGGGTATAACGATTAGTATTGATGAGCATATGATTATGAGGTCCAGTACGTGTGCCGGCACCGACAGGTACCTGATTTTACCACGCCAACCCTCGTATTGTTGCTTGCACGATGATGACCATAGCCGTAGTATGAACTCAAAACTGAACCAGATGATTATGAATTTTTCGAATAGGTAGATGAATTTCCACGCGCTGGACGCGAATTTGCCTAGGTAATTTAAAAATTATAATTAATGTGAATTAATTCTTTTTGAAAATTTAATACATTGTTTGGGATAAAAAGGTAGAGAAAACAGTTAGACTATTTAATTCAACTATTAAAATAAATATAATATAATATTATTATGTTATTAATAACTTATTATTAAATATAGAGTGGGTTTTTCCTCAACCAAATATATAATATTTTGTGATAAATATAGACATGATACCAATGTACTAATTACATTGTTACAGGTTTTAGCCTTTTTTAATCAAACATTTATTTCACTTGATTATTTATTGTTAATCATTATTCTTTTAGGTTAACCTTATAACTTTACAAACCTTCACTTAACCTCCCGTTTATAGTAACGCACATTAATAATTAACATTACATAAATGACAGATTAAACTAATTAAACTATTATATGGTTTAGTTAAACTCAAGCTAGATTATCTTTTATATTAGTTAAGTTAAGAAATGATTTACCCATATAAATACTATGGAAGGGATAATTTGAATATAATTGTATAATTATTTGTCACAGCCTACCTATGTTGGAGAACACGGTAACAATGAGACCGGCGAACACAAACATAAACACCAATATGTGATAACTTCTTGCCCAAAAACTTTGCGGGTTGTTCAAAAAATTATACACCTTGAGCTTTTCCTGATAATTAATGGTCTTGGTGAATTCTGGATCAGTAAAGTACACGGTAATATCGGGATCGGAGCCATCCATGTCCTGTAGGTCCGACTTTTTGCGTTCCCTAATCTCTCGGCGCTCTTTCACTTCGGACAGTATTTTCTTGAGCCGTTTGGCGCCCACCGAGTTATCGTTGGCCACGACTGTAGTCGCAGTACTACTAGTAGT